AAAAAAAAAAAGAAGAAGTGGTATATATATACAATGGAGTATTACTCGGCAATCAAAAAGAATTAAATCTTGCCATTTGCAACTACGTGGATTGAACTGGAGGGTATTATGCTAAGTGAAATTAGTCAGAGAAGGACAAAAATCATATAACTTCACTCATATGAGGACCTGAAAAGACAAAACATGTGAATATAAGGGAAGGGAAACAAAAATAATATAAAAACAGGGAGGGGGACAAAACCGAAGAGACTCATAAATATGGAGAACAAATAGGGCTACTGCAGGGGTTTTGGGATTGGGGATGGGCTAAATGGGTAAGGGGCACTAAGGAATCTCTTCCCAAAATCATTGTTGCACTATATGCTAACTAATTTGGATGTAAATTAAAAAGAAAAAAAACTAAATTAAAAAAATCCTAAAGACTCAACCAAAAAACTGTTGGAACAAATTCGTTAAAGTTTTAGGGTATACAATCAATAAAGAAAAATTAGTTGTGTTCCTATACACTAACAACAAACTTTAAACAAAGAAAATAATCTCAAATTACAATACCATCAAAACAACAAAATATTTAGCGATAAATTTAAGGTGAAAGATCTGTATATTGAAAACTAGAATATATTGGTAAGAGAAATTGAAGAAGAAACAAATAGAAAACTGTTCTGTGTTTATTGAGCAGAATAATTAATATTGTTCAAATGTCCATATTACACACATTACACAATGTGATATATAAATTAAATGTAATCCCTATCAAAATTCCAATGGAATTTTATCAGAAATATAATAAAAATCCTAAAATTTGCATGAAACCACGGAAGACTTCACATACCCAAAGAAATATTGAGAAAGAAGAACAAAGCTGGAGACATCTCATTTCTTGATTTCAACCTTTATTACAAAACTAAATAATCAAAACATCAAGGTACTGTCATAAAATCAGACAAATAGAGAAATGGAACAGAATTGAGAGCCCAGAAGTAAACTCACATATAGATGGTGAACTAATATTTGGCAAGAATGCCAAGAATACTCAATGGGGCAAAGACATTCTTTTCAATAAATTGTACTGAGAAACTGGATATTCACATGACAGTGAATGAAGGTTGACCCCTATCTTACACCATTCACAAAAATTGACTCAAAATGGACTAAAGACTTAAATTTAATACCTGAAATTCCTCCTACAAGAAAACAAAAGGATATTGATCTTGGCAACTCTATATATTTGGATATGATGCCAAAGTCACAGGGAACAATAGCAAAAATAAACAATTAGGACTACATCAAACTAAAAAACTTCTGCACAGCAAAATAAATGATAAACAAAATGAAAACACAGCATACAGAATGGGAGAAAATATTTGCAAACCATATATTCAAAATATATAAGGAAACAATACAACTGAATAGTAATCATCATCATCATCATCATCATCTGATTTTAAAATGGGCCTAAGATCTGCATAGACTGTTTTCCTCAGAAGATATATAAATGGCTAACAGGTCCTTGAAAATATGCTCAACATCACTGATCATTAGAGAAATGCAAATCAAAACCACAGTGAGATCTCACTTCACATCTGTTAGAATGTCTATTATCAAAAAGCAAGAGATATGTGTGTTGACAAGAATGTGAAGATAACGGAATTGTTCTGCACTGTTGGTGGGAATGTAAATTGGAACAGCCACTATGGAAAACTGGAGGCTTTTCAAAAAACTTAAAAATAGAACTACCATATGACCCAAGAATCCAACTTCTGGGTATATATTCAAAGGAAATGAAGTCACTATCTCAAAAAGATATCTGCACCCCCATGTTTCTTTGAAGTATTGTTCACAATAGCCAAGACATGGAAACCACTTAATTATGCACTGATGGATAAATGAATCAAGAAAATGTAAATAATATTTACATTACAAATGTGAATAATATTCAGCCATGAGAAAGGATATCCTGCCATTTGAGACAACATGGATGGACCTTGGGGACATTATGCTAAGTGAAATAAGTCAGAGAAAGACGAACACTGTATGTTGTCATATGTGGAGTCTAAAAAAGTCAAACTCAGAAACAGAGTAGACTGGTGGTTGCCAAGTAGGTGCGGGAAACGGGGAGATGTAGTTCAAAGGGTACAAACTTGCAGTTATCAGATGAGTTAGTCCTGGGGATCTAATGTACAGCCTGATGACTGTAGTTAACAATAGTGTATTATAAACTGAAATTTGCTAAGACAGTAGATCTTAAATGTTATTAACACACACACACACACACACACACACACACACACACACCACACACAAGGTAACTAGTGAGGTGATGGATGTTAACTAACAAATTTGTGGTAATAATTTCACAATATATATGTATATCAAATAATCACATTGTACACCTTAAACTTACACAATGTTTTTGTCAATTCATTTAAATAAAGGTGGAAAAATTTTTGAAAAAATTTAAAACAAGAGTAATCTTATCCTCTAGCCTTAAAACAAACTTTAAAACACTTTAAATATGAATGGGGTGGCTCATTTGGTTGAGCGTCCAACTCTTGGTTTAGGCTCAGGTCATGATCGTGGGATCGAGCCCCACATCAGGCACCATGCTGAGTGTGGAGCCTACTTAAGATTCTCTCCCTCCCTCTCTCTGCCCTTCCCCAACTTATGCTCTCCCTCTCTCCCTCTCTCTCTCTCTCTCTCTCTCAAAAAAAAATACATATATGAAAAAAGTGCTTTTAAATTCAAGTTAATTGACCTTTTGATTTTGATTTTAATTTCCTACAGTTGTACAGTGAGAAAATCCACTGGATTATATTATTTTATTTCCTCTGATGTTGCTATTTCTCTGTACAAATAAGTAAACTGATACTCTGGATTCTATATAAGCCTTGTGATTTTGTTAATTATAAGCTTACCCTATATAAATGGATGTTAATTTTCTATGTGAGGAAATTCAGCTTCTAATCTGGTATGGTTTAGGTACAGAAATTGTTGATTCTTTAAAAAGTCATATAGGTAATAAGCACCATCATGAAAGTCTTCATGAAAGACAACAAAATGGCTTTGGCAACACAGAGACATATTTTTTGGCCTGGCCAACACACTTTCCTATTTTGAAATTCCAAGAGTTTCAAAGAAGTCAATATAATGATATCATATTAAAGATATGATAAAATTAATGTGGAAATGAGAAAGAATGAAATATGGCTTTTTGTAGCAACGTGGATGGAACTGGAGAGTGTTATGCTAAGTGAAATAAATCATACAGAGAAGGAGAGATTCCATATGTTTTCACTCCTATGTGGATCCTGAGAAACTTAACAGAAGACCATGGGGGTGGGGAAGGAAAAAAAGTGGTTAGAGAGGGAGGGAGCCAAAACATAAGAGACTCCTAAAAACTGAGAACAAACTGAGGGTTTATGGGAGGTGGGAGGGAGGGGTGGGTGGGTGATGGTTATTGAGGAGGGCACCTGTTGGGATCAGCACTGGGTGTTGTATGGAAACCAATTTGACAATAAATTTTACAATAAAAAAATAAAGATATGATAAAATGATAAAATTAACTGGAGAATCCAATCACATATGTGAATTATGGATATAACATTTCAGATAACCCTCAATGCTTATTATAAACTGCAATAAGCAAACCTGTATATTTCTAACACCAGAGAGCATTTACCTGAGAAACATATATGAAACCAACTCCATACACTACAAAGGAGACATTGGAAACCATTGGAGTAGGGCAGACTATTTAATAAAAGATACTGGTATTACATGGAAAGAATCCATGTCCACTTTCCTCTACATAAGAATCTATGTCCATTTTCCTCTACATAACACAAGAGAATATTTATTCTAGGTAAATGAGTGTTTCTTTCTCTTTAACCTCCCATATCTTTTAAAATATTTAAGATACCTATTTTTCCTGGAATTTGCTCATATGTATTGGAGTCTCGTCTAACTTTGTTTTTCCCAAATGACTAGGTAATTGTTCTAACACCATTCACCAAATGTGTAGAAGAGTTAACACAGCAGACCTGAATTTGCTAGCCTAAAAAGGTCTGCTTGCAAGGTTGGCCCTTGGTGGGATTCTGGTAATATATTAGCCACAATGATAATGAAAAAAAAAAAAAAAAAGAAGACCCAATTACTAACATTAGGAACAAGAGAGGTGACATCAGTAGATATTCTACAAATATTAAAAGGATATTAAGTTAACTGGCAAGGCTGAAGGAAAACAGGCACTCTCATACATTGCTGGTGGGTGTGAAAATGTGTAATACCTCTTTGGAGGGATATTTGGGATTACCTAATAACACTACACTGCACATAACTATCATTTGATCCACCATCCCCATTTCTATAAATATGTCCTGAAGACAGAACTCTAACCATCCAAAAATACATTTGCGTAAGGTTATACTACCATTAATTATAACAGCAAGATATTGGAAATAAATGTCCACATACAGAGTGATTGAAAAAATTATGGTAGTGGCACAAGAGAGTTATGCAGCTGTAAAGAATGAGAATGATCTCTATGTATCAACTGGCTTCAAGTCTGGAAAATGTGCAAATAGAGAAATTAATGGAATTAATAAAATTTATTTTTTCCTAACTGTATTTTCCTTAAAAAAACTTTGGTATCCTGTGGCTCTTTCACAGTTCTGAGCTCTGAACAAAAGAGATAAGGAAAAATAAGGAAGTGCCACAAAGGAGAGCTGTAAATCACCAAGTCTAAAGCTTTGCCCAGAAAACAAAAACAAGGAAAAAAGTGAAGGTTGACAGAGGCGAACCTGTGGGACCATCCATAAAATGGTTTCTATAGGTGGTTCCTAGAAACATTCCTCTAAGTCTCAGGATGGGAAAGGGACGGACCTAGGATAGAGCAGACAGAGCACTTACCTTTGCATCCCTAGATGGGAGGGAGCTGTTGGGAGTACAATGGATCTAGGCCCTTTCAGAACCTTATATCCAGGGCAGACCTCAAGAACACTGCTGCCCCGGATGAGATACAGGGATCCTCTTGGGAGTTGAGAAGCTTGCTGGATTACCAATAAGAAATCCTATGTGAAGACCCCAAAGCATCTAGGTTCCTTCCTCTTTTTTTTTTTTTTTACATTTAGTCCATACTGAAGCTACCAATTCATATATATATGTGTGTGTGTGTGTGTGTGTGTAAAAATTATATATATATGTATATGTATATATATGTGTGTGTGTGTATAACTTATCACACATGTATACATATACACACACACACATATATATACACATATACATATATATAATTTTTAATGTATTTTTGAGAGACAGAGAGAGCACGAGCTGGGGAGGGCAGAGAGAGGGAGACAGAGGATCTGAAGTGGGCTTGGGGAGGACAGCAGAGAGCCCAATGTGGGGCTTGAACCCATGAACCCAAGATAATGGCCTGAGCCGAAGTCAGTTGCTTAACCTACTGAGCCACCCAGGGGCCCCCAGGTTCTTTCCTCTTAAGTGTGTTGCCTCTCACCTTCCTTAGAGCTGGCAGGATTGAGGTTAATTCCGCTCTTACATCTCCAGTCAGTTGGAGCCTTGGAGTAAAAGTCAATCTTGTTCCCCTCTCATCCCCCACCCCAACTCGCCCCCAATATTGAGCTTAGCCATCCTGACCATTTGAAAGCATAGAAGGAGTGCCAACTAAGTGAGAGGATGGGTGTGGTAATGTAAATCATAGATCCCATTAGTCCCCATCCCTGCCTTTTCAAAGAAAACACCACGGGTGTTCAGGAGTTGTCACTTCACCATTTCCTCTCTCTGGTCTCCCCTAAAGCCAACTCCCTCCGTGAGTCCACCTCCCTTACCGGACACATAGTAATGGAGTCACACACAGCTGGGCTGGGCGGGGAGCCTGGGAGTGGGGGAGGGGTGTTCAGAAGGTGAGAAAAGCAGAGACCCAGGATGGTCCTAGGGACTTCCTGCACCGGACCTATTCTCAGCCACCATGTCCCATGGATGCCATTCCCAGCCTCACACCCACCTCCTCCAACAGCAACCACTGCTTCTCCATATTTGCCTCCTGCAGGATGACTTCCTGCCTCTTGAGCTCCTGGGCAAAAGACTGATCCTGGCTCAGACGCTGGCTGAGGGGTTGTGCCCTCTAAAAACAAATGCTGTAATTCCAGTCGCCTGAGAGATCCGTTTTCAGGATGGAGAGACACCTGCCCACCCATCCCAACATTCTACCACTCCTCCCATGGCCATCTGTCAGTTGTCAGGTGTATGTCCTTCCAGTCCCCTTTCAGTGCGACACACCTCTGTGCTTCTGCAAGTGAGAGCGTGGTCACGTGACCCACCACCAGCTTCACGTGACCACGTAGTCAACCTGTCTGCCGCAGCCCTGCAGCATGGATGGTAGAATATTCTGCCCCTGAGGTTGAGATGCTTGCTAGAAGAATTTGAAGCTCCTGACCCTGGTGAAGATAGAGAGCTGAAGGAAGGCTGGATTTAGAGCTGGAACTTCCAGTGCTAGTGCTAGGCCTGGGCCTTGCTCTTTAGCAGCACAGGGCTGGCAAGGAATACTTGATGAGGAAGGGGTTTGGAAAGGAGGTTATTTTTATTAATCTGTATGATACTCTGGAGACATATTAACACACACACACACAGTATGTCTTGAAAAATATTGATAAGCAAAACAAACACTGTGAGGGCAGGCAAAACTACCACTTTGCTCTATGCCCATAAACCTTGCATACCAGAATCAGGTAGGATAAAACACCACTTTCCATCCTGACAAATAAAAAAATGACAGGGTCACCATGTTTGGTTGTTTTCCTGAAAATAATAAAACTTTGCAGATTTACTCTTAACCTGGACTGCCCAAAATCCCCTATCCCAAACCAAAACAACTGTATGCCTGACTTTCGCTTCTGTCTGAATATGTATTACATTTTTGAATGTGAAAAACATGTAGCGTGAATTCAGGAACTTTGGAAATTTTAAAGTTTATTCCCTTTAATTTAATATGTATTTTTACTTGGCAAGCCAGTCATTTTGAAGTTGTAGTCTCTCACATTTGTTTACTCCTTTGTTATGTTTTACAGTCAAAACTGCATACATTTGGTCTATTTACCACATTTATTTTTACAATGGAATTATACTTTCTATGTATAATACCAGTCTTTTCTATTCCACCAAATAAAGCATTTTGCTTTATTATTTTCTTATTCAATTGAAAAATCTATACCTCATCACTTTTAGAGGCTGTATGGTATTACTACCATAACATTTTCCATGGGCACCACTATGAAGAAATGGTTTTCCTGTCTCAGTTAATTTTCTGTACTTTCTTAATTCTTTTAACTTTTAAGCGTATCAATGAAACACCCGTATTTTGAGATGCAAAATTCAACTTCTTATTTCTTCAAAACTTATCTCATCCTCTCTATCCCTTAATACACCCTTCCCAGCCACTCCAGTCTGACTGGGTAACTCACTCACATAGAACAACTTTTCCCAACTCCATGCTTTTATTCACACCACCCAGTCTTTCATATATTCCAGAGCCCAGCTTAATTGAGTTCTTTTTCTCCTGAGGTATGCCCTGAGTAGCAGCCCATGGTAACCTTTGCATTTAATGTCATCAGAATAAACTTTTTCAATGAGCATATTATTTATAGATTAATTATCTATGTGTGTTCCTGTGTTATCTTTGCATCTATATTTTAAGTTCAAGGAGAAGGGTGACTTCTGACAACTTTAAAACAGAACTTTATTGAAAACACAAGACTCAAATAGACATCAACACACTAGAACAACAATCAGAAGGGTAGCTGGCTTACTTATGATGGCTCAGTTCACTCTAGCCGAAATACTAAGTGTCACAATTTAGACAAAAACACAAATATCAACAAATGTTCTGTCAGTTCTAATATTCATTTGGCATCAGAAGAATGATTCTGCTCATACAGAGTTGGGCAAAGTCAGTGCTAGCAATAAAGATGTACATTACAACACAACCGACCATGCAAACCAAAACATTATTCAAGGAATTGTTAACTCAGGAACATTAGGACAAAGGCAAGTGATTAATCATACTAATTTTACTGGCCTGCTTCAGGGTCATATTGATCATTTGTTTTGCTTTGCAGTTCCTTAGCAAACTCCTCAACTTCATGGAATGCAGAAATAAGTGGCTCAAGACTGAAATCATCATCAGTGAACAACACCATCTCCTTTTTGATATTGTTACCAATATTCTCAAACATTGCTAGAACAACTTGAGTATTGTCATTTGTCTCTTTCCTGTTAAAAAGGCCCATAAATTCTGACATTGCTTCAGCACTGAGTAGTTCTTTTGTCATGACAGGATTTTCAGACAAATTCAGTATTATTTTCAGAACATGAAACCTTGTTCTGGTATTGCCCATGGCTAGTAAGGAGAGAAATCCTGACATATACTTGGCAACCAGTGTGTGATAGTCAGTAGTTGTAGTGAGGTGTGTAAGCATCCTTATTCCAGAAATTTGCTCAGGGGAATCTAAGCTATAAGAAAGGGTTTCTTCACACATTTGACATACATATGTCTGAATCATGTTTAGATTTGGATATGGTGGAGCCAAGCGAATCATGTTTTCCAAAAAACTTGTCCTAACTCGGGAGGAGGAATAATTGAGCAAGGTTTCAATAGGTGAGACAACACCTGAATCCCGAATGAAATCTCGGGTAAATTGAGAAGCACTTCTCATACCCATTGCGATTTTAGATATTTCATGAATAAAAGGATCTCGGATTTTGTCCATTAATAAAAGGAGTTCTTCAAACTCTTCAGAACCAATATTAAGCTCACACTGTATGCAGCTGCAGGACCAACTCTCAGGTTCTGCACTCTCTCTGGCCCTAAGATGTTCCCGAATTTCCCTGACTGACCTGTAGGATGGATCATATTGAAATGGGAACTCAGGATCAGGCTGATCAGGCTGAAGCAAAGATTCCTGCTCTTCCCCTTCTGGGTTAAGCTCCATGTGCTTTGGCTTTCCTCCAAACATTTCAAAGAACATAGATGCTGCTTCTTTTGGAAATCTAAAGGGTATTGGAGATGGGAAGCCAACCCTACCCCATGGACCAGGCTTGAACTGAACAGTGACCTCTTCCCAGCTCTGGGGCCTGTGTGAAGCATCAGGTTCCTGCTCAAATGAACACCTAGACCTGCAAATGGCCCTGAACACAGGGTTACGGTTTGATTCAAAATGGGCCTCATCTCCTGCCCAGAACCAGGATCCCACTATGGGATCATCCTCCTCATCTACTGTCCTGGTCTCACAGTTGGTCCCATTGTCAGTCCTGTTATTGGCCTCATCTTTAGCTCCAAACCAGGACCCCAAAACGGCCTTTTCCTCATTGTCTGGCCTGGTCTTACAAGTTACAACAGTTCCAGTCTCGTTAATAGCCTTCTCTTCAGACCAGAACCAGGACTCAACAATTATCTCATCATCCTCTGGATTGAATGCACAGAATGTCTCTGCTTCTACACTGACTTCTTTTGCAGCACAGGACCAGGACCCAAAAATGATTTCTTCTTCAGTCCTTGACCTGCTCTCTTCTATTGCCTGAGGCCCAACCTCTATACTGTTGTCTTTTTCAGCCCCAAACCAGGACCCAACCAGGACTGAGGAAGTGATTTCCTCTTCCTCAGTCACTGGCATGGACTCGAAACTGGCTCCTGCCTCCATACTGGCCTCTTTTTCAGCCCAGAACGAGGACCCAACAATGGCTTCCTCCTCTTTAGCCTCTGGACTGCATTTGTTGCAAAAGCCAGCCTCTTTCCTAATGATCTCTTTCCTGGCCCAGAACCAAGACCCAACAATAGCTTCCTCCTCAGCTGCCAGCCTGTCCTCTTCTCTAGCTTCAGCTGCTGTCTTGAGCCTGTCCTCCTCTCCAGCCCAGAACCAAGAACCAATAATGTCCTCCTCCTCAGCATCTGGCCTGGATTCTTTTTGTCTGTAGCCACTCTAATGGTTTCATCTCCTTTCCAGAACCAGGATGTGATCATGGTCTCCTCCTCGATCAGTGGGTTGGTCTCTTCTCCAGTCCCATCATCTGTACTGACCTCTTCTGTAGCTTGTAACCAGGGCCCTATAATGGTCTCTGGCCTTGTGTGTTTCCTGGACCAGAACGATGAATTAACAGTGTCCTGTTCCTCCTCTGGCCTAGACTTCCACCTGCTTCCATTGGCAGTATATATGCAGGGGTCTTCTTCATCCCAGAAGCAAGACTCATTATTGATCTCTTTAGCCTCTGCCATAAATTTGCATCTGGTATCAGTTCCATACTTTATACTGACCTCTTCTGTGTTCCCAAACCAAGATGATATGATAACCTCCTCCTTGTCCTTCAGGGTAGACTTGTTGCTGACCTCAGTCCCCACACAAGCTTCTATTCCATTCCAGAACCATGACCCAATAATGGGTTCCTCCTCAGCCCCTGGCATGGTATCACAACTGACTTTAGCCCCACAATCCATCTTGGCCTGGTTTCCAGCCCAAAACCAGGACCCAAATATTGACTCTTCTTCATCTCCTGGCCTGGCTTCTCCAAACTCAGCCTCTGTATCAACCTCTTTTCCATCCCAGAACCAGGGACCAATGATCCCTTCTTCCTCAGACCTTAGCCTGGATGCACAGCTGGCTCTAATATCAACTTCCATACTGGACCCATCACTGACCCAAAACCAAGACCCAAAAATTGTCTCTTCCTCAGCCTCTAGGTTGGTCTCTTCACTAATCCAGAAGCAGGAACCAACAATGACGTTTTCTTTATAATCTTCTAGCATAGATTTGGAGGTGGCCTCAGCCCCAGTTTCCATACTGGCCTTTTCCCCAGACCCAAGGATGAAATTGCCAGTAGATTCCTCCTCAGTGCTTGGTCTGGATTTACTGCTAGCATCAGTCTCTATACTGGCCTCTTCTTCAGTACAGAACCAACTGCCAAAAATGGAATCATCCTCCACTTGAGAGCTGTACTTGACACTGGCCCCACCTACTATGCTGGATTCTTCTGCAGCCCAGAACCAGGTCCCAATGAGGAACTCCTCTTTGGACCTGGTTTCTGGCTTGGCCCTGGCTCTGGCCTTATTTTTGACCTTTTCCTTTGCCATTATTCTGGCCTTGGCCTCTTTCTTGAACTTGGGCCTTGACAAGTTATTAGCCTTTTCTCCAGGCCAGAACCAGGACTCTTTTTGGACTACATCTAAAGATCCAGATACAAAATCAATGGAAGCTTCTTGCTTGGTCCTGTGCCTGGCCCTGACATTGGCCCCTTTCCTGACTCTGGGTTTAGACCTGCATTTGCCCTCCTCCCTAGCCCAGAGCCAGGAATTCACATTGTCCTCACATTCAGATCCAGAAATGGACTCAAAGACTTCTTTCTTGGACCTAAACCTGGACCTGTTATTGGTCTCTTCCTTGGGCATGGACCAGATATTAGTCTTTTCTCTGGCCCAGAGCCAGGATGTCTTAATAGATTCATCCTCAGAGCCGGCACTAGACACATAAAACTCCCAGTTGGTATTGGGCCTAGACATGTCCTCTTCTTTGGCCTTGTGCCTGGATCTGGCATTGGCCTTTACCCTGTCTCTAGGACGAAACTTTGTACTGACCTCTTCTCCACTCCAGAACCAGGAATTCAGACAAGATCTGTCCACCCATCTGAAATCACAATTGTGAGAGATCTCTTGTTTGAATGTAGGCGTGGGGCACCACCAGGATCCCACATTGGACTTCTCCTCTGATCCAAACAAAGGCTGTATTCCTAATTGGGACTTGACCTTGGTGACAGGAAAGGAATCAGTGTCCACACTGATCAGTTCCTTATCCATAGATAAGGTCTTCGTTTTAGCAACTGACTCAAACTCAGTACTGACCAGTGGCCAGGCTATGGAATTGGTTTGGGACACTCCCTCTCTCTTCAACATCTCCTCACCATCATATTCAGTCATGGTCCATGAAGGGGTTTTATCTGTAGGCCTCACCCCAGGGATTACCTTGGCCTCATTCTTAGTATGTACCACACCTACTGCCATGGTTTCTGCTTTGGGCTTTGCCCCACTTACTACCATGACATCAGATTTAGGCCTTACCCCAGGCATTACCTGTGCCTGGGTTCTAACCTTGGGTCTGACCACCAGTGGGACTTTATTCTTTCTTTCAGCCCCACCCCCAATCTCTTCTTCAGCCTTCTTTTCAGGCTTCTCCTGAGCAGCATGTTCAATCTCAGCCCCAGTCATGGTATAAGTTACAGAGGAGGCCCAGTTAAGTACCCCTACATGTCTCAGCCTCTACCACAGATCTCTCATGGTTTTATATCTTCACACTATGATCTTCAGTTCAGGTGATATAGTTGAAAACAAGAGTTAGAGTCAATCACCAGTCCATCAATCAATCGATCTCCTTCCAAAGCCTAGCCTCAGTCAATACCACAAAGTGCATAGGTACAAGCAAGCTGCGGGACAATGGATGTTCCCAGGTAGGAGCAGACCTGTTGACGGTGGTGGTCAGCAGCAATCCAACACCACCAGAGCTGCCACTAGAGGTGGATCTAAGGAAAAAGAATGACACGGGGCTTTGAATCTCTTCTAATTGCATCACTCCATGCAGAGATTCACATGGAGAGACTGGACCTTGAATACTTAGTGGAACAGTTGGACCCACATGTTTTACCCCAGATTTTGCCACATTACTTTGCCTGCTATAAAACAGGTGTGAAACTGGTGAGTGTTGGCAATGGGAGAGGCTTAGGAGGCCCCAGATTACCCTAATCACTCTTGGGCCAGTGTTGATTTCCACTTCCCCACCCAAAGTTGTACCTACTTCACACCAACCTGCAAGGATGTGGTGCAATTTTCCCCTCCTTTCCTTGATTCCAGGGTCGTCAAGCCCTAAAGCAGCCTTGGAATAAGTAAAAATAAAGGAAAGAGTGGAGCCTGACTGTGGATAAATAAGAGGGCACGCTGACCCTGATGGAAGTATCTCTTACCACAAGAGTTCAATTTGTTGTTTCTTATCTCAATGTCCATGTTCTCAGGTTTTCTCTTCCCTATCACAACCAATCCACACATACCCCAATATTCTTAATATCTATTGAAGGAAATGGAAAAGGGATGCTGTGGCAGTTGCAAATATAGCAGCAAGCAGGAGAGATGGAGGAGTTCCCATACCCACTTGGATCAAAGACACTTGCCATGATCTTACTCTATATAGTGTTCCCCTGATTTACCCACCTTCACGCCAACCTCCAGAGATTTGAACCAGTCTCCTCTCCTTCCTTATAGAAGTGAGCAGCCTTAAAGGAAGTCTATGGACAGACACAAAGGCAAAACATTCAGGAAATAATGGCAGCAACTGAATGCTTGGTGGACAGACCAACACCAAAAAGTATCCATATTATCTTCTATCTTGTTGAAAACAAGAGTTAGAGGACCTGTTGAGAGAATATTCTCATTTAATTTAGGCCCTCTGTTTCAGGGTTCTGGATAACAGCTGCTTTTCACATTACACTCTGACCATTACATTACTCCCTTCTCCAGTTATGAGGATTCACCAGTAGGTGTTCACAGTACCTTGTACTGGTACTACAGAAGTGGGGTAAAGTACCCATCATGTTACAGAAAACAGATTGTGCAGTGGCACTGGTAATTATGACTTCTGTCTCACCCTCACCTCCTAGTCCATCTTTTACTGCTACCAATTTTGAATGAAGGTGAGGAAGAAAGGCAAGGGAAGGGCTTAGAAAGCTAGTACAAAGGGGAATTTTAGAAGGTATTCCTGGATGCCTGACCTGTTCTGGTCACAGTTAACTCCATTCATATTTGTGTTTCCATTCAATGGCTGCTGCTCATGCCCCTCCCCCATACACTACCAGAGTCAGGCATCTTGTCCTGCTCTTCCTTTTTTTTCAAGCCTCTCCTCTACAAATGCAACCTGTGGGATGAAACCGCCAGACCTACCACGAAGACTGAAAACTGCGTATCAACCGGGCACCTGTGGGAGGAGGCAGCATCCAGAGCACGAGGTCCAACAGGCCCCTTTCCAGAATTAGGGCCCTGGAGTAGCAGACACCACCGCCCCCTTTCCCCCCCGCCAGATGGACACACAACTCTGATGCTGCACCCCCTCCCAGCTCCAGCTCCGCCATTTCTGTTATAGCAGGTTCTCCCCCTCCCCCACCCCGACAGCTCTTTCTGGGCACAGCACTGTCCAGGGCGGGTCATGGGCACCTGGAAAGCTCGCTGCGGAGTGGCTGGCGCAGTTCGCTCCAGAGGATCCGAGGGAGCATCTCCCGCTAGCCCCCATGCCCTGGGTCCGGCCCGCACCGGTCACTGCCTCTCCTCGCCAGGGATCCCGCGGCGCTGCGCACCTCTGTCACGGACAGGGTACGACCGGGTCGCCTCTCCCTTGCCAGGCTGCCAGAGGCTGGGGTCCGGGCAGGCTGTAAGCCGGGCAACAGTGGGGGTCCCCCCACCCTCCCCACGACAACCCACTTGCCTTCACAGGCTCAAGGTGCAGGTCGTTGTCCTCCCCCTCTTCTCGGAGCTCCTCACTCGGATTCCCACCACCTAGAGGGCGGTCAGAATCGCAAAAAGGCGTCCCACCCCTCGCGGTGCCGCACCAAACTGAGCAGGGACTGCGCAAGATGCGGCAAGAACCGCTCTCAGCAAGGGTGTCGGGAAGGGGGCAGAGGGATACAGCACAAATGGGCTAGACGCCCGCTCCCTGACCCACCCTAGTTCCGACCGGAGGGGGGGGGTGTGGCCAGGAGGTGCGCCAGCCTAAGGGGCGGACCTCTGCAGACCTCTGAGGCGACCACCCCCTCACTGCTGGCACAGCAATAAAAGGGACCTGGGGACCATTGGTGGTGGGGGCTAGAATCGAGAGGTCAGGGGTGGTGGTGGTGGTGATGGTGGCAGTGCTCTGCAGGCAGCAGCAGATATATATCAACAGCCCCTATGTGTATGAGAACCCCCAGGCTGCTTGGTCTGCCCACCATGCGCTTCCCCATTTGGCCTGCCCTCTTTCCTGGAGGCTGATGAGCTAAGGTGGGAGGGGGCTCCCATGGAGGCCTCACCACTGTGCCTTTTCTAAAGGAAGGCAGACCCACACCTCTAGCCCGAGAAAACCAACCACTGCTTTGTGCCCATTATTTCTACCACACAGTTATTTTCCCCCTCTTATTCAGACTGGTCACATGTTTTGCCATTTTGCAGTCCCCAGAGTTGCCCAAGAAGGAGGGCCTTCCCTTGTAAGGACCCGCACTAGGTCATAGGATCTTTCAGGTCTGTTGCCCCATGGCCAGGTGTCAGGATAGTCCTGGCTACTTCTTCCACTGTCCTATCAAGTCTTCTCTTGCAGTCACATCCAAGCTCTCATTATCTTTGGCAATGTGGAAATGTGGCAGGGATTAGAACCAGCTTGGATCTCAGCCACTTGCAATGCACACCTATCTAGTTCCCCCAGACACTCTTTGGAGAGGGCCCCATCATGTACCTACTTCTCCAAGACAGAAGCCTGGTGGTTCTTAAATCCTCTGAGTCCCTTACCCCTACATCCTTCCTCTAGTCTTGAGCTCTTCCTTTCTGTGCTCCATGGGGCAAACAGAGCAACTGAACTTAAGCACAAATGTGGTTGAGCACAGACCTTTTGGTGCCCATTTTAAACCCTTTAAATTAAATTAAATGGCACTTTGACTGTGGTAGGCTGAATAAAGGTCCCTCAGTGATATCCACATCCTATTCTCCAGAACCTGTAAATATGTGATGTTACAGGGGAAAAAGAATTAAGGTTGCTGATGCAATTAAGATTGCTAATCAGCCGACTTCAAAAATAAGAATATGCTGGGGCTTCCTGGCCATTGTAATTGCAAGGGTACTTCAGATGTGCAAGATGTAGGCAGAAGAGTCAGTGTCATAATGAAGTAGCCTGATAAAGGTTTGGACAGGGCATTGCTGGCTTTGAAGATGAAACAAAGCCAAGGCCCAAGGAATGCAGGCAGCTCCCAGAAGCCAGAAAAGGCTAAAGAAACAGATTTTCCCAAGGGTTCCTCAGAAAAATGAAGTCCTGCCATCACCTTTAGTTTAGACCAGTGGGATCCTTTTTGTATTCCCAACATCCAAGACTGTAAGATAATGCATTTGTGTTATTTTAAGCTGCCAAGATGGTGGTAATGTATTACAGAGGCAGTAGGAACCAAATTTACTCACCATCATGATAGTCCATTCTACTCGACTATGTTTATTTGGACCTCAACCCTTGGGAGGATCACTTTGGGGGCTCTTTTCTTACCACTATAACCACCCTCTCCAGCATTCCCCATCTCTATTTACTAAAGAAAAATGTTTGCATCGGCTTTGAGATTCATCTTGGAGAAAGTCCCTATATATTGAAAATCACTGATGTTTTTGAGAATGAAAAGAGAGCCATATTCTTACCACAAATTTTCATATATTTTCACTTCAGCTTTTACTTGTTTTTAATTATTTATTATAATTCTGCAATATTTTGGTGATAAAAAAACATCTGTAGATGATTCTATACAGTATCTGGACTGACAATGGATGTCAATTATCAGAGGAGCGCTGCTTTTACTGTGCTGTTTAATGGCTTTAGCTGAATTGTGGATCACTTTTTTCTTTGCTCCATAGCATACTGTCTTGGCGGAATGCCAGGCTTGAAGAAGGGAATGAACTCTGCTGGGATCTGTGGGTGTGTGAATCTCTTTGCCTTCCCGAAGAAGTCTTCTTTCACTTTCTTAAAGTCTCTGGTGTCTTCCATTCATTCAATAAATATGTATGTAACTACTTACTTTTCCTAGGCACTAGAGATACAGTAGAAACAAAAATGAAAGATATCTCTGTTCTTGAGGAAGCTATATTTACTTGTAGTTTCTTTCTTATTCCATTTTTATCCTATAATTTTATGGTCATACCAGCATAAAGTTGTCTGGTAATTCTCAAGGTGATTCAATATTGATTCTGAGTGGATATTTATTGACAATAGAGTGGATCTACCACAAGTCGACTGATTATACTGTGAGACTTTGAAAATTTGCTGGACAATTTATTCTCAATTCACTTACAGAACAGGCCCTATTGCTGTTTAATACTTATCAAACTGAGAAAAGTCCTACTTTAAACTCTTTACGTGTTAGCACTTTATGTGTATGTATCAGATAAGTTAAGTGTCATCTTTAATATCAGAGAGCCTATAAAAGATTGAAACAGGATGCTGAGCTATGTCCTTCTGGTTGCTAAAGTAATATTCTATTTACTTCCTTTTAAAGTAGATTACAACAGCCAGAGTTTCACTCCCCAGTATCTCCAACTAGCACCTGTGCAACACTGACTAGCCTTGAAATCTAAATGTCTGTAGTGTAAGTGGTTGACATTGAGCTTTAATTGCCAAGGTATCTGGTTCAAAAGACATCCATTATACTATATATAGAAAACTTGAAAGATTCCACCAAAAACTGGTTGAACTGATAAACAAATTCAGTAAAGGCTCAGGATACAAGATCAATGTACAGAAATCTTGCATTTCTATACAGCAATAATGAAGCAGCAGAGACATTAAGAAAACAGCCCCATTTAAAACTGCACCAAGAATAACAAAATACCTAGGAATAAACCTAACCAACAAAGTAAAGGATGTGTACTCTGAGAACTATAAAACACTGGTGAAAGAAATTGAAGATGACACAAAGAAATTCAAAGACATTTCATGCTCGTGGATTGGAAGAACAAATATTGTTAAAATGTCTGTACCGCCCAAAGCAATCTACACATTTAATGCAATCCTTATCAAAATCAACAGCATTTTTCACAGAATTGGAACAAACAATCCAAAGGTTTGTATGGGACCACAAAAAACTCCAAATAGCCAAAGCAGCCTTGAACAAGAAAAGCAAAGCTGAAGGAATCACAATTCCAGACTTCAACTTATATTACAAAGCTGTAGTGATCAAAACAATAAGGCACTGGCACAAAAACAGACATGTAGAGCAATAGAACAGAATAGAAAACCCAGAAATGAACCCACAAGTATATGGTCAATTAATCTCTGACAAAGGAGGCAAGAATATCCAGTGGGAAAAAGTCTCAACAAATGGTGTTGGGAAAACTGGACAGCAACATGCAAAAGACAGAAACTGGACAACTTTCTTGCATCATATGTAAAAATAAATTCAAAATGGATTAAGGAGCTAAATTGGAGACCTGAAACCACTAAAATTCTAGAGGAAACACATAGTAACTTTTATGACATTGGGTATAACCACTTTTTTCTAGATACCTCTTCTGAGGCAAGGGAAACAAAAGTAAAAATAAACTATTGGGACTACAGCAACATAAAAGCTTCTGCACAGCAAAGGAAACAATCAAAAAAACTAAAAGACAACCTATGGAATGGGAGAAGACATTTGCAAATGAAATATCCAATAATGGGTTAGTATGCCATATATAAAGAACAGATACAACTCAAAATCCAAAACATAAATAATCCAATTAAAAATGGGCAGAATACATGAAGAGACATTTTCCAAAGAAGACATCCAGACGGACAACACACACATGAAAAATGCTCACCATCACTCATCATCAGGGAAATGCAAATCAAAACTATAATGACATGTTACCTCACACCTGTCAGAATGGCTAAAATCAATAACACAGGAAACAACAAGTGTTGGCGAGAATGTGGAGAAAAAGAAACCCTCTTGTACTATTGGTGGGAATGCAAACTGGTGCAGCCACTGTGAAAAACAGCATGGAGGTTCCTCAAAAAGTTAAAAATTGAACTATGCAGGGTGCCTGGGTGGCTCAGTCAGTTAAGCATCTGACTTCAGCTCAGGTCATGATCTCAAGGTTGATCTGCATCGGGCTCTGTGCTGTCAGCTCAGAGTCTGGAGCCTGCTTCAGATTCTGTGTCTCCCTCTCTATCTGCCCTCTTCCCCTCACGCTCTGTCTGTTTCTCTCTCAAAAATAAATAAACATTAAAAAAAATTAAAAATAAAAATAGAACTACCCTATAATCTGGCAATTGCATTACTAGGTATTTACCCAAATAATACAAAAACACTCATTTGTAGAGATACACGCACTCCTATGTTTATAGAAGCATTGTTTATAATAGCCAAATTACAGAAGCAGCCCAGTGTCCATCAATTTATGAATGGATCAAGAAGATGTGGTATATATACAATGGAATATTATTCAGCCATAAAAAGATTGGAATCTTGCCATTTGCAATGACATGGATGGGGCTAAAGAGCACAATGCTAAGTGCAATAAGTCAATCACAGAAAGATAAATACCATATGATTTACTCATATGGGGAATTTAAGAAACAAAACAAATGAGCAAAGGGGAAAAAAAGAGACAGAGAAAGACAAACCAAGAAACAGATTCTTAATTATAGAAAACAAAGTGATGGCTACCAGGAAGGAGGTAGGTGGGAAGATAAGTTGAATAGGTGATAGGGATTAAGGAATACACTTGTGATGAGCATTGTGTGATGTATGGAATTCCTGAATCACTAAATTTTACACCTGAAACTAATATTACACTGTATGTTAACTAACTGGAATTAAAAGTTAAAAAAAGACCACACACACACACACACACACACACACACAATTTATTGTCAAGTTGGCTGACATACAGTGTATACAGTGTGCTCTTAGTTTTGGGGGTAGATTCCCATGATTTATTGCTTACATACAACACCCAGTGCTTATCCCAACAAGTGCCCTCCTCAATGCCCATCACCCATTTTTCCCTCTCTCCCACTCCCCCATCAACCCTCAGTTTGTTCTCTGTATTTCAGTCTCTTATGGTTTGCGTCCCTCTCTGTTTGAAACTATTTTTCCCCTTCCCTTCCCCCCATGGTCTTCTGTTAAGTTTCTCAAGTTCCACATATGAGTGAAAACATATGATATCTGTCTTTCTCTGATTGACTTATTTCACTTAGCATAATACCCTCCAGTTCTATCCACATTGTTGCAAATGGCAGGATTTCATACTTTCTCATTGCCAAGTAGTATTCCATTGTATATATAAACCACAATTTCTTTATCCATTCATCAGTTGATGGACATTTGGGCTCTTGGCTATTGTTGAAAGCACTGCTATAAACATTGGGGTTTATGTGCCCTTATGAATCAGCACTTCCATATC